GTATTTCTCAGCTGCAATTACCAGAACACACTCCCAATAATTTGTGGTGCTCTAACAGTATCTGTTCCAATATAAGTCTTCCTAAATTTAGACATTCCTTCAAATAGATTCTATTTTAGATATATGGCTCATGAGAGAACAGTGCAATGCTGAACTCAGGGAACAGAAAAGTGTCCTTAAAGCCATCCTGAACAGAGAAGTAAACAGAATACTTCTAATCACTACCGAGTAGCAGCTCTAGCTATAGCAGCTCAACAACAGCAGAGTAAGAGCACAGGTGACAGATGAGAAAACTCTCTCCCCTGTTTTCTGCAGCTAGACCTCCTTCCCAGTTCCTAAGAGTAAACAGTTGAGTGGACACCATGAGACTGGAAATTGAGACCCAAGTCTGTCCTTCAAGTCACTCCATTTGCTCACCAAAACTCAAAAAACTGACCAGAGAGGAGGCAGGTAAGTCTCAACTGGAACAGTCAATACCACTAAGGCCTAAAAACAGACTCCAAAAAAAGAAGAAAAAAAACCACAAAACCAACTCTCCCCCTGCAAAAAAACACAACCCAAAGAAGCCAAACCCCTACCAAAATAAATAAAACCCCCACACAAGAAATGGACCTGCCTGCTAGCAGAGAAGCACACGAGCTGCTGGGCTGGTGGTTAATCCAGGATTTAGCAAAGCATTCTTAGCTCAGCCAAAAAGTCTGTCATTGTGAATGCTGAGATTATAAAGCTTTCAGAAGAAACGCAGGGGGGAAATGGATTATCAGTGCAAGACACTGCTCTACAAAGTTATCAGCTCTGCTCAGTAAGCCTCTGCAGATAAAAGTTAGATTACTCATTCAACAGTGGTTTAAAGCAGAGATGTTCCAGAATAGCAACTCAGCTGCAGATTTCACTCATACAGTATCTAACCATTCATCAAGGACTCCAAAGTCCTACCAGGCCAGGGCAGAACAAAAACAATACAGGACAGTATTGTCTTGGTTTTCTGATGCATGTTGCTGTCTTCTGCACAGGAAGACATTCCTGTTCCAACCCAGCACTACTGTCTCATTCTGCTTAAGTGCCTGTCCATGGATTCCCCCGAGATGAGTTATGTCTGTCCAATTATAGCTCCTCTTCTCTAAGAGTTAGAAGTGCCAAGTGCAGAACTTTCTTTCCATGCAATCCCATTTTTCCCACTGATAAGGCAATACCACGGCTCCAGCAATACATCGTGCTGCAAACTGACTTTTTTTGTGTCTGTGTGGATATATATGTGCACATAAAGTCAGACAATTTCTCATGACTTGACCTCTTAAACCAAGTTATGTTTTGGCAGAAAATCTCCTG